CCCCAAAACCCCAAAACCCCAAAACCCCGACATAATTTATTCACTGAGTCATGTTTAAAATATCTATTTAATATTGGAATATGATTTATATAAGTCATAGTTGTTACTTTACTATTTCTGAAGATTTCATTGGGCTAACATTCCCACTGCCACTTGCTATCTAATCCCTTGGTGAAAAGTAATCCTGAATGTAATTCTTCTTCTCATCCACCATAATTTTATTCTTAGTCACATTCAGAACTTTAATCTTTTCATCCTCCCTTAGTACTTGTGGAGAGACAGTTTTGTTCGTTTTCACTTTCTAAAACCAAGGGTTAAGTTTTTGCATCTTTCTATCTCTAGAATTCATGTGATTTCTTTAGTGCTTCACCGCTCCACCTACTTCTGACGAGATGTAATTCAACTAAGTGGCATTTAAAATGGCATCATTCTATAATAAAGATAAATCTGTATTGCTTACAATTTGCTTTTTATTCATATTATTTTTCCTGATTCTATTTACAATGTCTTCTTTATCAATCACTTAAGAGTTTTGTTTTAGAATTTTCAAGTCAACCTCATTGAAAACTAAACAGTCATTGTTAATTTAACAAAATTACATTCAAAAAAGTCATTCTTGTTAAAATAGATTAAGTCAGATAGCGCCAAGGCTCTAACTCTGCAGTTTCTTTAAACTGGAGCTTAGATCAAATCTCTAGCTGATGAAAACTTTTACTCTCTTTCCTGGATCATCTCCTCATGTCCAAATATATCGCCTGGCTTTATATCCTTTACTTTGTAAAGTATTTATTTTTTAGTCGCACAAACTTCCCATTAATTGTTGCCCTAGAATGAATTATAAAAGTATTTATTACAACTGGATAAGTATTCTAGTCTTCTATTTCAACTATTGTCTCTAATGCTAGTCTACCAGTTTTTAAAATGTAAAATACTTCAGGCTTAGATCCGATTTCATATATTACTATATTATTTCTTGAAAAATACTAGTCTACATACCTTCATTAGCTGAGTACTTTTGCTCATTAAGAAGATTATTAAATTCCAAAAGCTTGATGAACGACCAATCTTTACAAAATGGTATTTGCATCAAGAAGTTTTATCTTTGGCTCTTCTGAATCATTTTAACATGATATATAACATTCCTGAAATCAGACTTATGCAAAATTAGGCATTGAGTTATCTAATGAGATTTGATGGTAGCACCTCTATTTAACATTATGCTTATTATTAAAAATACCTTTTATCATCGGTTTCAAGAGCTCTCTCGCCAAATACTTTATTCTCTCCTAAGATCACAATACAGTTTTTAACTTCAACATCAATATATACTCCTACCTCGCCTTTTATTATTACGCACATAAAATCTCCATCATCACCTTTTCTCATAACTATACAATAATTTTAATTAAACTAATGAAAATCTTACTAACTTCGTCTTCTTTATACTCTTTAAATGCAAATTTTTCAGTGAGCATATTTAACACCTCTTTTTATATACTCTTGAAGAACAGCACCTTAAACTTTAAGTACATCATGAAATAATGCTTCTCTTCCTGATTACGATAATCAGGACTCTTTGATGCGATTTTACTAATATTGAATATTTTTTCTTTTTCTTGTTTCAAATATCGTTTTAATTCTACCCTGTCGGATGTATTTTCATCTTAGGATTTCGGTTACCCATCAGATAACGCATTTAAAAATATCTATGGCTTATCAAGCACGGATTCCCCAAAGTCATCTTCATCTCTTTTTTTCTACTCAGCTATCCTTCTCATTTTTTCCTTAAATTCCTCATATAATCTTTATTGCTCTTCAGTAGGGTTTTCAGTCTAAAGCCTCAAGCCTAAATCTGTTGTTTTCCAACTATTTCTTACTCTCTTTTATTTGAGCAATAGTTTTTCTTGAATTACTCTTTCTAGTGATTTGTTTTGAATGATATTATGATTTGTATTATTATTCGTTGAGGTATTATTATCTTAATTTCTATTATCCTGTTTCTATTTCATATGCAACTTATCCAAAGACAATCTCCCTTTTACCCACAGATTACCAAAATCTGATACCAAATTAGAATTTTAATACTTGTTTAAGATATCTTTTGTCAATTCTCCATTTTTCTGGTGGTCAATCTTGCTTATTATTTCCTTAAATTCCTCCCTCTCTTTGGATTGAGCATTTTGAATTGCCACTCGAATTTGTCCTCTCTAGGTAATAGATCCTTACATCTAGGGTGAGGCTAAGAACTCCCTTTTATTTCTTTAATTCTATATTATTTAAGAAACAATCTGATTCTGCTTGTGATATAGCTTTCTCTCTATATAATCAGATATTCTCCTTCTTGAAACTTAAAGCAAGTTATCACCTTAGGTAAATCTTTAGCTAAACTAATTGTCAATTAGTTTAAGAGCTTTAAATCCTTGAATGAACTCTTGCTATTCTAATTGATATTATTGCTACTCTTTTATCTGCTGATATATTTTGTTACTTGATTTAATATCATTATTTTAGGAAAACAGCATATTTTGATTCTGTGAAACTAGAGAGTCAATTTCATAGTTTTCTCTTCTATGATGATGAATAAATTGAATTAAATTTACCTAGGACTAGATATTTTAGGCAGAAATGAAGATGGGTTTTTATTCATTGAAGGAATGGGAGAAATATCAAGATGTGAACCTATCTCCAAAGTCATTGGGAGGTTACTATTCAAATAATTTTGCTAGGTTCCTGCGCTTTGATTTGTTAGAAAGTGCATATTGTTGCTATAAGCCTCTTAAGAGTAAACACTATCTTGATATTGAGATTCAAGCCTATGCTTGTTATTGCTAATAGTTGCCTAATTGGAAAATGAATACTTTTCCTTAACTGCTGATTACTTAGATTTCATTGGACTGATATTCTATTCAAAATGGTGATCAAGCTAAACTGGAGAGAACAGACTCTTCTTTATGTTATTTTAAATCGCATCTATATTAGGTGCATCGAATATCAACTTCCTAAACAAAACAATGTTAGTTTAAACAATAGCTAAATTACAAATCCATTCCTGCAGCTCTAAGTTTAATTTATGTATATTACTTTAATTAAGTTATAAATAATCATTTTCATCATATTTTTCAAAATAACTTAGACCGGGGTTTTGGGGTTTTGGGGTTTTGGGGTTTTGGGG